ACTGACAGTCCCCCCATGCCCACTGTACTAAGTATATGGGCTTGAATAAGGAATAAGGCTTGGGCTGGGTTTATGCTTGGAAATCTTTTTTGGGCCACCCCACACTGTGCCTCTGTACCACTAGGGGACTCTCTCGGACATCTTTGGCCAGAGACTTGCCCAGCCCAAAGCAGTTTGGCTGTGCCAGGGTGCCAATTCTAAGAGAGAGAAAGTCTCTCTCTTTAGGATGTGTAATTCATTAATAACAAGCTTTTATTGGGTACAGATTAGCTTTGAAAAAGGAATCAGTAATAAAGAATAAGGAGCCAGGAGTAAGGAATTGGGACTAGGCAACCGATTTCAGCCTCATCTGGAAAGGTGGCCCTGAGCTTGCTGCGGGGAAACACCTTAAATCCTTTACAGCCCTTCCCACCCCATTACTTCAGTGACTGTGGGATAACTGAGAACAGCATCTGGGCCCAATTATTTCAGTGGAGTTACTCTGGATTTACACCAGTCCATTTGACATGACAACCAGGCTGCCATGTGAGGAGAGGATTGCCTGGGTTCTCTTGTACCTATACCGAAATGGTGCCTTTTCTCTCATTAGCCAGACCTAGCTCCACAGGTTCTCCCCCATCTCTCTTCCTTTGTCTTGCAAAGGCTGCTGCTTAGGATGGCACCTTCACTGAAAAGCCCCGTGGGGTTGAGGAACAGGGCGGGTTGGCAGGGGGCACTTACCCTGAGCATTGTCAAGTATAACTGCTTTCAGCATGTCTTCATTGTCTAACATCCAAGCCCACAGGACCCTGCTTGTTGCCATTCAAGACTTTAAAGGCTATCCAGGGGTCAAAACAAACCATGGAAAAAAATGGAGCAACACACTTGGCCAGCGCAAGCTGCTGAACAGCAGAGCCAGATCGCCCAGAACCATTGCACTGCCAGCCAGCTGGCCCCAGCCTCCCCTACCCAACCAAGAGCAACTTGCTGCATGCCAAAGCACGCATGGCATGAACATTCCCCAGGGACAAGTAGCGGCAGCACATAGTGCACCACTGCTACTTGTCCTAGGAGAAACAAACTTCCATGCACATCTGGATGCGCCCTTAGAGTCTGTTTTATTAAACCACTCATCACATTACTATATGAGCCACTATAAGTTAACTGTTAGGAGCTCAGGTTTTCACATGAAAAGTCAGCAAAGCTTGGACTCTTGCATCACATGAATGGGCAAGTCAAGCCATCCTGGCTTTAAAAAGCTGTGAACATGATACAACACCTAAAAGCACTTTTGCCTGCTCCAATAATGGTAATTTACCCCAAAAGAAAAAGGGGCTAAATTTACCAAGCTTTCAAATGCCTGCCTTTGAATGCAGAACCTGAGGCTCTTCACACTTTTGAATACACAGATTTATCTTTGTCCACCCTGGTGTGATTTGCTCCAGTCTTATGCCTCTGGTTCCCCCCTTCCTTTATATGTCTACCCAAAATTGGGGTTAATCACAGCCTTTGTTGTTTTCATAAAATTCGGAATGTAGACCCTCATGTTGCAGGATAAAAGCCTTTTATTTCAGTACTTGCACAACTGATTCAAGCACAGTTAAAACAGAAACAGGCTTGCAAATTCTTTGGGAGCTTGTTTTGTGTAACTGGTATAATGGACCCTGGAAGGAGTACTGCCACCACCACTACAACCTACAAAAGCATGCACACACAGGCCATAGTCACCCCAAGTCAATAGCAGAAATGGTTATTTAAATGCTAGTTTGTACCCCAGTCCTAAATACATCACATAGCAATGGTCCAAATTCACTCACCATAAGGGCATGGGCACAATTTAAAGTATGCCACACAAAAGAGGAAAAAAAGTCCAAACAGTTGGCTATTGGGACCATAAGTAAGAATGGGAGAACCAGAGAAAATATGTGGGATACATCATTGCACCAACAAAACACTGCACCATCATACCTCTAGAACATAGTACCAGCAATTATTCATATTTTTCCCCCTCTCACCCTTTCTCTGGTGCAAGCCTGCAGTCCTTATTTAAGTAAAACAGCTATCACCCACTTATAATAATCACACCTTAAATGCAAACTCACTATCTCCTCCTTGTGGGAAACTGGCTAAGATGCAACCAGCAGCACACTTGATAAACAAATGCCCAGCTGCAGAGGATGGGAATCGGAAGCATATCAAGCACTATGCACAGCAGAGATGATCATCTTGATTGTTTCAGGTGAAAGAACAGTGTGTTTACAGTACCCTGTAATTATGGCTGGTCAGAGACACTTCAGTCTTCAATGTTTTTCATTGGAGAGTGCAGACTGTGGTAATCAATTTGCTTTGCAAAATCACATCAATATCACTAACATCTCCTTCTTTCTTTCTTTCATTTGGCTTTAGGAGCAAGAGCTATCATCACAGTTTTAATTCCAAATTCCCCTACCAGACCAGTGCCCTGCTGGAAAGCGAGTGTAACTCTAGGATGTCACCCTCAATTTTGTATCTGGGCAGGATATTATTGTATGCCCCATGGTTTGGTCAGGGTTTCTGCAGTCACAGCCAAGTGAGATTTTTAGGTGCCAGGTGGCCACACTGGCTATGTCCAGTGCATATCCTGTTAAGGGTTGTCTGCATGCTCTGTGGGAGGTTGAAGCCTGGTTGTTGCACTGCTGGGTCAGAAACAAGGGACAGGGACAGACATTACACATAAACCAGTTTACGTGATCAAAAACCAGTTTAAACCTGTAACAAAACAGATGTTCAGTGCACATACACCAGTTTAAAAATGGCTGAAACCAGTTTAAGATAAACCTGGTTGAATATAGTATCAGATTTAACTGATTTGGGTCAAACCGTCTTATGCAGTGTCTGTCCCAGACCCCTTGCTGGTTTAAGATAAACCAGACACCCCCAGCATCCCAATATGCTCTCTGGGCTGGACGAAGCTCTCTGCTCCACAGCAGAGCTGGCCCCTTCCCACTGCTCCCTGGCCACAGCTCTGGCACAGACTGCAGGCAGCTGCCTGCTCCCGACCCCTCTCCTCCCCATCCCCACTGTCTTACAGACACCTCAGCATTAGCTAGCAGACCACCTGCTGGCTACGGTCTGTGCTGTGGCAGGACAAAGGGAGAATCAACAGGTAGCTAGTAATGTCCCTCTGTTTTCTTAATGGGGTGATAAACAATGTTCTCAGTTCCCTGCTGGGCTGCTGTGTGAGGAGGTGACTCCTCCTTGATCAAAGCATCCTGCCAGGGCCTGGCCATGCCCCCATGAGTTCAGCACTGGAAGGGAAAGGAAGGCTGTTCTAACACCCCCTAGCTTCTAGCCTGAGCCACTGCAGGCATGTCCCTGCATTTCCTTGGTCCAGAGAGAATGCCTGTTCAGTTGGAAACCAGATCAACCTAGGCAAGTTAGACTAACCTGCAAAGATTGAATCAGTTCAGGCTCAGGCTTTTTGAATGCTTGTCCCTAGCCAACGTGTTTAATTGGAAAGGTGTTTTCGGGGAGGATGGTGACAGCCTTTTCATGTCCCACTCTATTCAGTCTCTTGACTTCTTGAATTCCTTGAATTTCTCAATTGTTTAATGCCTGGGTCCACAACTAATGTCACCGAAACAGCGACTGAACGCATTCAACAGGCCTCCCAGTCAATGGAGCAAAACTCAAAATTGAAGAGATTACACCTCATTTAAGAAGAAAAACATTTTTAAAAATTCTAACAATACCAACACTAATAATTTCAAAGATATGTTTGATTTTTTTTGTTTTGAAACTACTTTTCATTCAGAATGTTTTATTTTCTCTGTATATACCATATGTATATATAAGGTACAGATATAATTTTTCAAAGGCAAAATGAAAACAATATTTCAAAATGATTTTGTCAAAACAATTTTTTTGA